CCAAGTTCACTTGTTTGACCCCAATGAGCCAAAGAAGTGTTAGAATTCACTCCTGTTAGCTATTCTGATGTTCTGTCCAATTAATATCTACAAGGAAGAGTTTTGGGATGATGGACCTGTCAAAACATCCTAAGGCTCAAAAAAAACCTACCATCATGACTTATTTCAAAGATGTAGGGATTATAGTGGGATCCAGACAATAGGATTATGGAGAGATTATACTTTTCTTTTATTGTCAAGTAGAATGAGATTCTTTCACTCTGTCCAAAGGATTTCTTACCCAGAGTCAAAAGACCACTTGGAATTTTTCATACGGAATGTCTTTACAAGCAGGTAACTCATGTTAGCTCATTCAGATTGTTGTCTTATTTATCACACTTACTTATAATAATTTAGGAATGGTCTTCTCGGAAACATCACAAACTTTTACCATGGAATAAAAGACCCTTTTCAGAAATAGATTTTACCACTGGAGAAAATGCCACCTCTTCATACTATTCTGGGGCTCATAGATTTAAAAAAAATGCAATAAATTGCCCAAAGCATCGAGGCGAAACATGTCCACTCTAAAAACAGCAAAGGAAACTTTTCTAAACTATTTAGAATTAGATCTAATGTGAATAAAAAGGCTTTCTGAGTAGAGAAACATTAAGTACAGCTAGATGTGTTCATTTTAAGTAACTTCAGCCTGTATATTTTTACAGCTACAGAGTTACACGAATGTTGCTAGGCATCAAGTTCCTTGGCAGGAAGAAGGAGGTTATCAGAGGACTACTCACACCTCACACTGGCTCCCATGTCCTCCTCTCTTGTCATAGTACTACCAGCACCATCCATGTGTCTAGTGCAGTGTTACAACCACTTTTCACACTCTAAAGGAGCTTCACTGTTGTTCTGGGCAAGTGAGCTGTTGTTATTTGTGAGAGATTTTGTTTATGTTAGAACCATTTACGGCTACTAGTTGAGATTATAATCCAGTGTAAATATATAAAATTATATGACTTCACTGTTAGAAGAAGTAATTGCAGAGCAGTGGCAAAGGCTCAGTGTACTGTCCCTTCAGTGGCTAAGTAAGGGGGTTCCATTATTTGTTCCTTTCATTTTAACTCATGAACCCTTTGGTAATCCCTACGTGGATGAGCTGATCCTAGAACTATCACTGCAATAGTTCTGGGTTTCACGGGCAGTAGCTCTACTTGATTAAAATGTACAAGGTTTGACTTAGGGAAACTCCTACCATCAGCAAGTTTCAGAGAGAAGAGCTTTACACTCAGCTTAGATGTGGAAAACTAGTGACTTGTAGGGTTGAAACTGATACTGATAATTAAAACCAATCCTGTTAGGGAGAACTCTGGAAAAAATTAGAGTAGAAACAGGAGAATAATGGATACCAATAAAATACGTACACTGCAATGAAGGTAACATATTATAATGGTGATCTGTAATCCCTGGGATACCTCTTTTGGTGAAAAGTAAAACAAGACCAAGAATTAAAACACAAGTTTCATGTAATTTACTTGGTAAGAAAGTGGGTGCTACATATGGTATATAATCAACCACTGGGAAAACAATATGTGCAAGTTTTCAAAGATGTCATATAAATATGTCGGTACCTTTAGGCAAACTGCTTTTAGAAAAAAAGACCACAAAACATTTCCAGAAGTACAGATATTTACACTTCACAGATGACCCAAATTATTCATATTGCTTCTGCAAAGCTATAGGGAGGCATAACTGAGGGCAGTTGGAGTAAGTCTTGGTTGTGCCACCAGTAACTCAAGCACTTGTCTTGAAATATGTGCTCCACAGGAAAACCTGTATGTCTGCACAGATTTTTCATTACAATAGAGAGAGATTCTGGTGGGAGTACAGGTATTTACTCA